CCATTGGGCTGTGTCAGAGGTATAACAATGCCTTCGAGATTATGACGCGCAGTGAGCTCGCGCACGCTCCTCGGAGTCTTCCATGCACCAACCTTCGATTCAAGCTACCAATTGAGCAGGCTTCGATACAACGACTCCTCTCCCCTGGAGAATCATCATTGTGCCAGGCGCAGACTTAAGAAATGCTTAGCGGAACAGGGGAGCGTGGATCTGTCTCAGAAAAATCGTGCAGGGCGTTCGAGACAGCTTTGAATGGCGTGGACTGCAACATCTTTGAGGTCCAGACTCCCAAAGCTCAAGCGAACCAAACTTCCCCATCTTTGCTTGCAAGCGCTTTGATGATTGTCGCTTCAGGACCTTGGTCCCGAAGTCTACAACCTCGTCCGCAAAAGGATGGTTGCAGGCTCGCTGCCCCTTTGTCTCCCCTCTCTCTCTCTCTCTCTGTCTGTCTGTCTGTCGCTCCTTCCCGGTGTGCGCATGTGCATTGGTAGGGAAGGAGCGAGCATTTTTGGATCGTGCTTGCAGGCATCCTTGCCACAGACATGAAGCACCACGGTGAACATGCCGTGGCCTCGGGTCATGTGGAAGCTCGATCGATCACCGAAGAGAGAATGGGATGTCGAAAAGGGCACAAGGGGCAAAAGAGACAGCTTTCTTGTGGCTCCGGTCGGCGGGGGTGTGGGGTTTAATAGTGGCAAACCCAAGGAAAAGCTATTTTTGGAAAAGCTACTCCATCCATGTCTTGGCTACAGTTGGTGGCAAGGGGGTGGGGGTCGGGGTATGGGGTTTAATAGTGGAAAACCCAAGGAAAACCATCCATGTCTTGGCTACAAGTCGTGGGTCGGGGTATGGGGCTTAATAATGGCAAACCCAAGGTAAAGATATTTTCGGGAAAGCTGTTCCACCCATATGTTAGCTACAACAAGTGGTGGCAAGGGGGTGGGGGCCGGTGTGGGGTTTAATAATGGAAAACCCGAGCAAAAGCTATTTTTGGAAAAGCTATTCCATCCATGTCTTGGCTACAAGTGGTGGCAAGGGGGGGGGGGTCGGGTGTGGGGTTTAATAATGGAAAACCCAAGGAAAAGCTATTTTTCGGAAAGCTATTCCATCCATGTCTTGGCTACAAGTGGTGGCAAGGGCGTGTGGGGTCGGGCTGACAAATGGGCTTCAGGGGAGATGGGTGGGGAGGCGGGTGCTTCTGTGCCATGCGACTTGGTGCGATCTTGAAGCTTGTGTGCGGCTTGGTGCGACTTTGAAGCATGGGTGCAGTGCGATTTGGTGCGGTCTTGAAATAGCATGTGTGCGACTTGGTACGACTCGGAAGCAGCTTGTGTGCAGTGCGACTTTGAAGTAGCTTTGTGTGCAGTACGAATTGGTGCGAGCTTGAAGCTTGCGTGCGACTTGGTGCGACTTTGCCTGAGCTTGGGTTTGTTTTCGAGTGCCTTGAGCCTTGCCGTTTCAGGTGTCAACAATGGTAGATGTGAATGTGCATGAAGCAAGCCGAGTCAAGGTTCTACTGTGCTTGAGATTGTTTCGTGTGGTTGTGCTCAGTCATTTGAAGTGCTGGCGTGGTCGCCCTTCAGCTGTGCAGAAGCAGGCTGGGGGAGCTATCAATGGATGAGACATGGCACAAAGCTGCAGTGCAGAGAAACAGCTAGACCGGTCGAATGTTTCATTGAATGTTTTGAGCTGCAGCGGCTTTTGCTCAAACAACAGCGTTTTGCAAGTATTCTCGTGATCATGGATTCTGCAACAGCCAGGTCCAGATCCAGAAGCCCTCGGGCATCCTCTTTTGAGGACGAGCAATTTGATGTTGAAGTCGAGTCTGTTGCCGAAGAGCAGCAGCTCGATGGTCAAGTTTGGCAGCTTGATTTCAACAGTTTTGGCACTGGCCCTGTGGATGTGGACATGGTCTTCAAAGAGATTCTTCCGAGAGAATTGCCTATGGGTGATGATGTGCTCTACATCAGCAAGGAGGATGCAGCCCCAAAAATCTACCCTGAGCGAGGAAGTTTCATCCATTTGGCTGCACATCCTGTTGATGTATTTTGTTCATTTTGTTCTGCTCCCCCTGGCTGCCGGTCTTTGTTCTCTGGCAAGAGAAAAATATGCGAGGCACTGGTAAAGCAGGGATTGCAACTTGCTGTGCCATGCCTGACTGGGGAGTCATTGATGCTGGGAATGACGAAGATTCCTTGCAAAATGTTTCTGGCTGCCCTGGAGTCCTGCAAGATTTTCACAGTGTGTGTGTGTGGGTCACTTTGAGGCCCAGTGGCCTTGTGCTACAATCGGAGATGGTGTCCTTGCCGGGGTTTTGCATGGCCTATCCTCTTGGCACACTGGTGTTGATCTTGCCTGCAGACTGGGTGACAAAACTAAGATTTTGCTGCTCGGCTTTAACATTGGTGACACAAGTGGTGTTACCAATATCCCGGCCTTCCACCCAGCCATGTGCCCTCTGAAAGCAAGGGTCCACCCGATTCTGCCGGAACTACAACAAGGCAGCTATCCTGTGGTGCATCTCGGATTTATAGAAGGAACCTTTGAATACAAAGTAAGTTCACCTTATATAAAGAATCATACCGGGATATCCTGCTTGTTGGGCCGAAGCAAATAGCAGGTACGGTACCTTGGAGATCAAGGCCAGAAGGTCCGGCAGAGAAGCCCCCCTGAGGGGGAATGATGTGGGCAAATATCTGATTGCCTACCAATGCCTGCACAAAGCTTTCAGGACATTCAAAAGCAAGTGTCATTTCAGCAGCTTCCCCAATTGCCACTCCACCATCAACAAACAAGTGTCTGCAGCAGGGAGAATTGTTAGGTGCACCCTCTCCACACCTGACGACCAGCTTGGGGGACTTAGGGTGGAAGCCAGGGCCACTTGCTCTGAGCTTGGCCACCAGGCCACACCCGAGCAGTTGGCATGGCAGTGTGAGAGAAGGCTGAAAGTCTTCACAGCTATAGTGCTGCATGGTGTCTTTGACATGAAGGACTCTGGGTGAAAGCATGTAGCTACTGTAGATGTTAGCGCCTCGAGCAAGCCGCGTGTGTGTGTGTATGCAGTGGCCATGCTTATGTGAGCAGCGAGCGAGTCCAACCAACGGCCATTGTAATTGAACCCTGTGCTTGTGTATTTCGTGTGCAGCCTCAGTTTAAGCCTGGAGGAAGCCTTCTGTGTGGTTTGAAGGAGATCTCAGTCCAAGACGACAAGATGGCCATTGAGAAAGCTTGGGATGAGTTTCAGAGTTTCCCTGACCACGGCCCTGGCTTTGCAGCTCGAAGACGTGCTTGGTTTAAGCTTTTGTCCACATTGGGACATATCTCTTTCCCCGGCCATGGTTCAGGCATAACGGAAAATGCTCCTTTTTTTTCCTGGACTGTGGAACAGTGCACTGATTCTGTGGTTCTTCTGCATCCGCGCCCTTCCCCCTGCCCCGCCTGCAAGTATACACTGATCA